CAAGAGGCAGGTGTCCCAAGTGGTGACTTAACTAGAGCACCAAATGCCCACTCCTGAACTTGTCTTTTAATTAACTTTTTCAACCTTTTTGAAGCACCCTCTTACAACTTACCAGCAAAGTACAACCTGCTTTGGCAAAGGATCTGATATTTTCCCACATAACACATTCAAATGGCAAACAGGTATATGAAGAAGTACTCAACATTATGGTTTCAACTCATGTTGAAATGTAATCCCTATGGTGAGGTACTGTAGAAGCTGAATGCTGGGTTATTTTTGGAGGTGGCACCTTTGGAAGGTAATGAAAGCTAAATGAGGCCATAATAGGGGGACCCTACTGCGGTGGGATGGTGGCCTTAGAAGAGGAGGAGAGACCTGAGCTAGAATGTTCTTTCTCATCACATGATGCCCTATGGCACCTTGGCACTCTGCTGGGAGTCTGCACCAGCAACCAGGACCTAGACAGATACTGCAGTCCCATCTTGAACTTTCCAGTCTTCAAAACCAGCTAGACATTTGACCTGGGGTTCAGTGGTGAGGTACGGCAGGTTAAGCCTCTATGCAATGCTGACATTCCATTTCAGAGCATTGGTTCGAGTCCCAGCTACTCCGCTTCTCACCAAGCTCCCAGCTAATGCACCTGGAAAAGCAGCAGAGGATGGCGCCAGCACTTGTGCCCCTGCCATCCACAGGGGAGACCAGATGGAATTCCTCGCTCTTGGCTTCGTCCTGGCCTAGCCTCAGGCATTGTGGCCCCTTTGGGGGTGAACCAGCAGATTAAAGTTCTTTTTCCATGTCTCTCTGCCTTTCAAATAAATAAGTAAATCTTAAAAAATTATTTTTAAAGGACACCATCTGTATTCAGTCTATGCCATTCATTTATACCAACAGAAAATGAATTAGGACACAGAACATCAAATCAAAATTTTAACATCACCTTATACATGTGAATGATTATAATCAAAATGTCAAAAAAAAGTGCTGAAAAATATGTAGAAGAAGCCAAGCTTTTGATGGGATTGTATATTAGTATTACCATTATTACAAGAATACAGTGGGTCCTCAGAAAAGCTAAAACTACAACTATCTTATACAATAATCCCTCATCCGTATATACACCCAGAAGACATGGAATCAGTATCTCAGAGATTATCTTCACTCTCAGCAGTATTCACAATAGCTAATATATGGAAATAACCTAAGTATCAGTTGGTAGATGAATAGATAAGCCATACACAATAGAATACTATTCTGCCTTTGAAAAGGAAATCTTGACATTTGCAACCACATAGATGAACCTAGAAGACATGATCCTAACTGAAATAAGCCAAATGCTGCATGATCACACTTAGTCTAAAAAATAAAATTAAAAATTGAACTCAGACAGAATAGACTAGTGGCTAGTAGCACGGAATCTAAAAACTCACAAATGCAAAAAAGTGGACTCTAACATCAAACTTCGAGAACCAGAGTGTGATCGTGGTTTTCAGGGACTGAGGGGTATACAGGGCAAGGTAGATGGTGGTCAAAGGGTACAAACTTCCCGACAGAATTTAAAGAAGTTCTGGAGACCTGATGTACAGCCTGGCGATTACAGTTAACAATGCAGACCTGAAATATGCTCTGAGAAATTCATGTGTCCTTCAGGGAAAAAAGGTAACCCTACGGATTGGTGAATAATTAGCTTGACTGAGGTAAACCCTGTCATGATGCTTACCTAAATCAAGAGTTAAATATGTACCATGTTTGTTTACAAACATGGATGGATGAAATAGTTTATAGCCATAGTGTTAGGGAAATGCTTTATCTAGGAATTTCTATACAAGTTCTTACTGGTCTCAATCTCTCTGGCCTGTAACTTGCATTTTCCCTTTGAAATGATAGTTCTTTAATGTAATTGTTAAACACTGAAGGTTGCTTAGGAGCCCTGTTACTGAACTTTTTAGACCGTCTGAGATTTACTTTAAGCATTTCAGCATAGATAGTATGAGAGACGGGTGCTTCAGTTAGCTCTAACCCACACCCAAGGAGATGTGAACACCCAGAGTTCTCCAGTTGCCAACTGACACTTGAAAGGTAGGTTGCGCATGAAGGTTCTGTTCTCTGGATGAGATTTCTAGAGGAGCTCTGGAGATCACTATCCGAACCTGCACTCAGGGGTTTTAGAAGAGACAGGGATAGACCATTTCCAATCGTGAAACGAATGGCATGCCTCTGCAGTTGAACTTAAGTATGAGAAGTTGATGAGCCTGCAGCCCAATGCCTTGGGCAGACCCCTCAAAGGCAGAATCCCAGCCTGCATCCCTCCCCTGGGGGAGGGTGCTCCTGTCCCGGACAGTGAAAAAGCAAGCTGGTCTTTCCGTCAGAACACTTTCTTATTTTGCCTGGCAATCAGCCTTTCAGGCCAGGTGGCTACTGGAGTTCCTGAAATAACCAGGGTGCTAGGATTCACTGAGCTCACTGAAAGCCAAGATGATTGCTTGGAAGTCTGCTTGTCATAGATATTTGTGCACATGTTGGTCTCAGACTTAGCGGCTTGAGAGCTTGCAGGGACAGCTCTACCTAAGTGGCAGACACCTGGGTTCCCCAAAAGGGTCCCAAGCTTACACTTTTTCTTCCATCTTGGCTACTAATATCATCATCTTTCAGTCCCACAAGGCCAAGTTTGAATGGTAAGTCACATGGTTATTCTCTTGGGGAATTTTAAACACATGTCCATAAATTCTTTCCCTTCAAGACATGGAGCCTCATTTCCCACCCCTGGGTTATGACTCAGCTTTAGTGACAGGCTTTTAAGGACTGGACTAGAGTGATGACGTGTGACTCTGGTCTGCGCTGTAGAAGGTGGTGTCCTTGCTTTCTTTTGGGCCACTCACTTAAGGGAAGCCGGCTGCCCTGTTGTGAGGATGCTCAACCCGGAGAAGAAAACACACAACAGGGGCTGGTGTCCTAACAAGTTAAGCTGTCACCTGCAACCCTGGCATCCCACATGAGCACCAGTTCACGTCCTGGCTGCTCTGCTTCTGATCTAGCTCCATGCTAATGCCCCTAGGAAAGCAGCAGAAGATAGCTCAAGTATGTAGGCCCCGTACCCATGTGGGAGACTCAGAAGAAGCTCCTGGCTTCAGCCTGGGCTGTTGCGGCCATTTGGGGAGTGAACCCCCCCCCCACCCCCGGCAGCTCTGCTTTTCAAATAGGTCTTTAAAAACAAGACTACAAAAAAAAAGAAAACACAAACAGCAAGGAACTGAGACCTTCCACCTAGAGCCAAGGTAGCAGGTCATCCCCAAGAGGATCTTCAAGCCCCCTTCAACCCTTCAGACTCTTGGCTCAGCTGACAGCTTAAGGAAAGCTGCAGGACAGACTCGGGCGGCACTGCCCGGCTCAGCCACTCTCAGATTCCCGATTCTCAGGCATTGTGCGTGGATGGAAATACTTGCATTGCTACATTAACTCCCTTTGCAGCAGTGGTTATTATTTAAGGTAACTACCTAATAGCTTTTTGCCAATTCATATCTGGAAGCTGTATTGATTTGCTTACCCTAGAGAGGCCTGACAAATGAACACACACATTTCCTTAGGCCTGGTTGTGTCCAAGACCCTTTCAACATGTTTCTCTATCAGCACAGCAGATAAAAAATTAACTAGCAGTAGTAGTTAGTAGCTGCCATTTGCTGGACAGTCAGTCTCCACTGGACACTTTGCTCAGGGCTTTCCCCAGGTTCATGGGATGCCCTCCTCCCAGGAAGTCCTAGGAACGCGCCCCTCTCCCCGTTTTGTAAGCAGGGACTCAGTCTTATAACGCAACTTCCTTCCTGCCAGCAATCAGGGGTGGTGGAGCCAGCTCCCAAACTAAGCCTTCCTCCAAAGCCCATGCTCCCACACAGCTGAAAACATGCCGGAAAAAAGCCCGGCGAAAGGACAGAACCAACATCCTCGCAAAAGGCCAGGAGCCAACACAGGCTTTGCTTGAAAGAGTGAAAGGTTTTGTTTGCCGTTTTAAGTCGGACTTCCTTTCCGGGTGGACACAGCAGTGAGATCTCCCGGCTCTGCCCCAGCTGTCATGCATGGGGCCACACTCAGTTTCCTGCATACTGTCTGAAAATACTTTATCCAGGTACAAGACCCTCACACAGGGACCCCGGCAACACCTTTCCTCTTACGCCACTGACGGCAAAGAAATTGCATGTCTAGCACCTCGCTTTTCCACCCAAGAATGAATGCGGGGTGTCACAAGCACCCGTGCGTTAAGAAGTCTTGTTTCTACGGCTGCACTAATTCCAGTGAATTCTATGGCAGAGCGGATGTAACGAGTGGCCTTTCCATACACATGTTAGCCCTTTTCCACCCTTATTTATTTATTTATTTATTTTTTTGACAGGCAGAGTGGACAGTGAGAGAGAGAGACAGAGAGACAGGTCTTCCTTTGCCATTGGTTCACCCTCCAATGGCCGCTACGGCTGGCACGCTGCGGCCAGCGCACCTCGCCGATCCAAAGGCAGGAGCCAGGTACTTCTCCTGGTCTCCCATGGGGTGCAGGGCCCAAGTACTTGGGCCATCCTCCACTGCACTCCCTGGCCACAACAGAGAGCTGGCCTGGAAGAGGGGCAACCGGGACAGAATCCGGCGCCCCGACCGGGACTAGAACCCAGTGTGCCGGCGCCGCAAGGTGGAGAATTAGCCTAGTGAGCCGCGGCGCCGGCCCACCCTTGGTTATTTCAAAACAGAATGCTGGGATGAGAAACTGTCCACACATCATTTCCAAATGAAAGTGCTTCCCAAAGGGTTAAGGCCTACATCACTTCCTGGCTCTAAATCAAAGCCACAGTGAGCAGCACGTTTGACGGTTGAGGTCTCTGCTGAGAGCAGAGAGAACCCCAGGTAACCACTCTCTGTGTGAGTCCTGGCTGGGAGACAGTTGGGTTGGGATGAGTCGGGTCCAACACACGGGGAAGTAAAACCAAAATGCAATGACACAGAAGAAATACAATGTCACTTACCTGTTCCAGAGAGGCTGCCGGGAGACGACACAGGCCAGCGAGGCGGTGCAGAGTGCGGGGAAGGGTGTGTGGGGCCACGCCTTTACGGAGGTCCAGGGGCGTCACTCCATTCGCTGTCACCAGGGGTGGAGGCGTGGCTGCCTGAAAGGAAACACCTGAGAAGCCGGGCTGTCACTTACCAAGCTCTGGTTTGGGCTGGTAGATTCATCACGGTCAGCAGCTGTGCTGGGTTTGAGTTTGTGGGATGAGAAACAAATGGACTCCAACCCAAACCACCACCAGGGAGAGGACGTTTTAACCAGGCCGAAGGTGACAGATACGACTGGATTTCAGGTAACTGTGCCAGGCCTAAAAACGGGTGTCAGGACAGCAATGACACGGAACAAATCTATGTCGGGGCTGGAACGGCTGGTTTCCTTTACTACTCGAGAAAGAACACCATTGCTTTGTTTCTCCTCTTAAACCAACAGGTCTTCATCTTCTACCTCAGCAGGAGACAGCTGGCGCCATGATTGGAGCTTGGCAGGCTTCTTAGTCTGGTGCTTGATGCGTCCTCATTGGGCTACCCAAGCAAAGAAACACTGGGGGCTCTCATCCACAGACTTTCCCGTCTGCTCCTCACACATCCCCCTTCCTCCCTCTCCTCCTCCCTTCTCCCCTCTCCTCCCACCCCCAGCCCCACCCCCTGGTGCCCAGCACTAAAATCTCCCTCCCTTGTTGTCTGCCCTGCATCGTGGTACAAAGGTCCCAAGAGCCGGCCATTGCCCCAGGCGCTAGTCCTTAGCTGCTCCAACACTGGCCAGCTGGTAGGGGAGGCTGCTTCTTGCAGCAGCAGGTGGCTGGGTCACACCATTCCCATACCTGTCTCTCCTACCCCGGGCAGCTTCACGTGGGCACAAGGTTTCCACACTCTGGGTGACCGGTACTGCCAGAGGAGTTCTGCAAACAGCAGCCTCCCATGGCGATACGCTGCTGCTGTCCACCTCTGCCGTGGACAAAGAAAAGGTGTCCAGGGGGCAGTTTCCACCATCAGAACACAGCCCCACACTGCACATCCAAGATGGCCCCCTGCCCCAGGACACTTCGCTGTGGGATGCAGGGAGAGTGGAGACTTCCAGCTATGTCTCCCCTGACGACCAGCCCACTGCTTCATCCCTGGCATCTTTTGCTAGACTCATGCTCCATGGCACTGTGGAGCACACAGTGTGACACAGGTGACCACAAAAAGAGCCATGGTGCTTGTCATGTAGCAGTCATCCCCTTATTCCTGCTAACTCTGCACAGTGAGCTTCCTGGATGATGGACACGGTCGGAAAAGCAGAGAGCAATGTTTTCCTGTCTCACCTCCCCGCCCCCTCTCAAACCTGCCCTGTGGATCTGCCCTGCACCAGCTCAGGAAGAAATGGCAGGAAAGTTCTCTCACATTCTCGGTCGCCGTCATGGAACGAGAAGCACCACCTAGTGACCAGCTGCCAAGCAGAGGAAACACAAAGACAGTCGGGGTCCCCAGTCACAGCCACGGCTGCCACCCACCCTCCCATGCAGGCTGGGAGAAGTCCTTCGGGCATCGCTGCCCTTCACAGAGTCCACTTAGCTGAGAGCCACAGCCTGTCAAAATCCTGGCAACAATGGAAAGACACCTGGGCAGGAAGTAGCCTCCTATGGTGGGTGAAACCAAGCTTCTCACATCCAGTCAAGTCATCCAGACCATCAGAAAGTGTTCAGAACAGAACGCTGGTCAAACCTGCTTCTCATTAGCGTGCAAGGAACTACCCGTATTTCCACACTCGTTTCTGAGGTGTACGTCGTGAGAAGGATGAAGACGGAGACATAAATGCAGTGTAAGACTCACAGGACAGTCATGTCCCCAGCCGTCCCTGCACAACCATCTCTCCTCCTGCCGCCACCAGAGGTGGCCAGCTCCTACCACGCTGTTCAACTTGAAGCTGGAGGCAGGCACTGGTTCCACTGACCTGCAAGCCTGGGGGGATACAAATCCAAGCTCTCCAAAGGTGGTTTTCTCTAAGCCCCTCTAATGAGCTGCAAGCAAGGGGCAAACATTCCCCGCCACTGCCCTATTTTGAGAAACACAACACACCTCCGTGTCCTTGAAAAGACGTCCTCAAAAGCTCTTCAACCTCCCACCTGTTCACCTTCTCCCTGATAGTTGGCAGGCAGCTGATGGGCTCAGATTGGCTCCTCCCTTCCTGACTCCCGCCACCCGTGCCGCACAGGCAATCTGCCGCCTCGCCCAGAGTGCCTGGCACTCACCACCTTATTCTTGAAACTTGGCTCGCTGCTGGTTTCAAGACAGAAGAGCAGGTTTCGGGACCTTGTCACTCTTCATGCTCGAGGCTCTACAATGCCGTCGTTGAAAGCACCAGTTCAGTAAGTTTCCATGTGACAGGGGAGAGGAGCCGCGGGGCGCCTCGGGTCTGATCGTCACTGAGATGTGTGTCCACTTCGGGATCTCAGCATCTGCAAGGGAAGAATCTGCCCTCGAGGAAGGAAACCCACGTTGCTTAACCCGCTCGCTCCTCTCCATCCTCCCAGCACCTACTCTTCCTCCCTGTCCTTGGCCGGAGCAGAAGTCTAACCCGCCGGTGAGCAATCAGTGCCAGGAGTCAGCTCTCCCTATGCGCTCACCAAATTGTTCCCAGGATATCAGTGTGCTTGTTTCCTGCTCTTGCTGGAACAAATGCCCGCAGTTCTGCAGCCTGAAATCAAGGCGTCTGCTTCCCGAGGCTCTGAGGGACAGTTGATCTGGACTCCCCCCCCCCCCCCCCGCCCTCCCCAGGCAACAGTGGCTCTGTGGCCTTTGCATTCTTTGTCTTGCAAATGCCTCACTCCAATCCTTGTGCTCATCTTCACATGCCTGCCTCTTCTGTGTGTCTCTTTTAGTTCAAAATCTCCCTCTCCTGCCTTTTTTTTTTTTTTGACAGGCAGAGTGGACAGTGAGAGAGAGAGACCGAGAGAAAGGTCTTCCTTTGCTGTTGGTTCACCCTCCAATGGCCGCTGCGGCCGGCGCACCACGCTGATCCGATGGCAGGAGCCAGGTGCTTCTCTTGGTCTCCCACGGGGTGCAGGGCCCAAGCACTTGGGCCAACCTCCACTGCACTCCCTGGCCACAGCAGAGAGCTGGCCTGGAAGACCAGGACAGAATCCGACGCCCCAGCCGGGACTAGAACCCGGTGTGCCGGCGCCGCAAAGCGGAGGATTAGCCTGTTGAGCCGCGGCGCCGGCCCCTCTCCTGTCTCTTGCAAGGTCACTGAGGGCCCAAAGGGGCCTCATCTTGAGATCCTCAACCTGATCACATTTGCAAAGATCCAATTTCCTGTAAGAGCACCGTCACAGTCCAGGGGGCCAGGGGAGAGGAAGGGACTTGCACTTATCTTTTGGAGTGGACACCATTCATCACAGAGCCTCTCCAAGCCGGCTTTTCTCTAGTCTAGGTCCCCTCCCTCCCCCTCGCAGCAGAAACCTGAGGATGCTTCTGAAAGGGCCAGACACCAATGGACGGAGCATCCTTCCCTGCAGGGAGAGGTAGCTGGAGGTGGGGACTGGAAAAGAAGATGTCCAGAAAGCTCAACTGTGGAGGGAGGGCCCAGGGGCTCAGGGAGGCCGCCTCGGGGGTGGCCAGGGGCTCAAGCAGGACACTGTCCTCCGCGTGAGCAGCTCTCGTGGGGAGGCACTCTTCCGCACCGCACCCTGGGAGCCCTGCTCAGAGCACACACACACACACACACACACAGGCCTGCCCGTATAGTGAGTGACCCTGGATCGAGGATCGGGCCCTGGGACAGTGATGGTGTGATGGTGGCATGAAGAGAAATCTTTGGCCTCCTTGGCCAAGGCATAATCCACCATTCCCATGCCCCACGACCAGGCCACAGAGCCATCTCTTCCCCGGCCTCTGGGCCTTGTCCTGCAGCTATGGTCCTAAAACTCACTTTGGCCCTTACTGTCACTCTGCCCTACATGCTTCAGCAGCTCCTTTTAGCCTTCAGAACGGAACCTGGCTACGTTTCAACCACACACCTTGTATAATTTCCCTAACTCGCCTCCCTTCGTCACTGGTTCTGTGCACGTGCTGCGCCTGGGGCTCAGGGTCTGCTGCCTTTTTCTTCACCTCTCACCACACCAAGGCCACATCCACTCGGTTGTGCCTTTAGGTATTGAGAGAGGAGGGTAAGATGGGTGAATAGCACTTACGGCTGTGACGGATAAGCCACTGACCCGGGCAGCAGCCACCTGTGCACCTTGCGCTTGCCCGTCAGCCCTCCTCTCGCGGTTCTGAAATTGACCATCTCCTCCCGAAGACTGTGGCTCCTGCAGCTCAGCCATGCTGCCTTACCGACCTTGTATTTCCAGTGCCTGGGACACAGTCAATGTTATGGTTGGATGCCTGGGGGGGAGATGTTTCCCCAGGCCCCTTCCAAGTGCTCTTCCAAGTAGCAAGGGCACTTGACTTCCTGTGGGTGGGCAGTGTTGAGAACTCGAGGTCACCCCTGTGCCCCAGTTTCTTGGACTTTAACACTGGAGGGTGGGGCCGGCGCTGTGGTACAGAGGGTAAAGTTGCCACCTGCCACACTGGCATCCCGTATGGGTCCTGGTTTGAGACCCTGCTTCTCCACTTCCAATCCAGCTTCCTGCTAATTGCCTGGGAAAGCAGTGACAGATGGCTCAAGTTCTTGGGCTCCTGCACTCACATGGCAGACCTGGATGAAGCTCCTGGCTCCTGGCTTTGGCCTGGCCCAGCACTGGCCTTTTCAGCCATTTGGGGAGTGAACCAGCAGATGTGTGGGGAGCAACCGAGACTACACTAAATTACTGGAACTGCTAAGACTAATTCTATGCATCTGATCTCCCACCATATGGCGCTGAGAGAGAGTAAACAACTTCCACACAGCTGCCTCACCAATTTGACTAACAAGCTGCAGGAGCTGATCCTGCCCCTGATTGGAGGAGAGCAGTGTGCTCAGTGCATGGGGAGAGAATGCCAGCAGAGTTGGGATTGGTGGAAGAGGACTATAAAGGAGGAGAGAGACAACATGCAGGAGGAACATCTGAGGAACCCCTGAGAGAGCCGGCCGACAGTGTGCCGCTCCTCCGCGGAAGCAGGGGAAGCGGCGGGGGTGCCACCCCTCTGTGGAGGCGAGGCGGGGCGGGGGGGGGGGGAGGAGCGGCAGCAAACCCGGGAAGGACCAGGGAAAGAGAACAGCGCAGGGTCCGGTGTCGTTCCTCTGCGAGTGGGGGAGCGACACAGATGCAAGATGCAAGACAGAGCTCTCACGCTCTCTCTCCTTTTCTCTTTGTAATTCTGTCTTTCAAACAAATAAATTTTTTTAATTGGAAGATGAATCAGGACAGCCCTGTCTGTGACCTTGACTGAGCCCAAGACATGATTATCTAAAGCCCAACCTTCGGGGTAATTGCTTGCCTTAAAATAATTGTAATGCATTTTTCATTATAAATATTAATTGTTGATTCATAAAACAAGGAAAATATAGAGAAGCAGATATGGCTGTAGTTAGCTCCACCACTGTGTGATGTTTTGGTATGTGTTTATCTCCAGATGTGGAAAGCAGCTCCATTTTGGTTGGC